GACATCTTCAACCTCTCCCTCCTATAAGCCAAAGTCCCCACCTGCTTCAAGACCACCATCATCCCCATGCCCAAGTAAGCACATGCAACGTACCTTAATGACTACCACCCAGTGGCTCTGACCTCAATAATCATGAAGTGCTTCGAGAGGCTGGTCATGGCCCACATCAACTCCAGTCTCCCAGCCCACCTCGATCCCGTACAATTTGCCTGCTGACTTAACAGGTCCACAGAGGATGCCATATCCCTAGCCCTGCACACATCCCTGGAACATCTGGACAACAAGGACACCTACGTCAGACTCCTGCTTGTGGACGACAGCTCGGCCTTCAACACCGTTATTCCCTCCAGACTGATCTCAAAACTGTGTGACCTTGGTCTCGGCTCCGCCCCCTGCAACTGGATCCTCAGCTTTCTGATCCATAGACCACAATCAGTGAGGATAGGTAACTGCACCCCCTCCACAATAACACTCAACACTGGAGCCCCCTCCAAGGATGCGTCCTCAGTCCCCTACTGTACTCCCTGCACACCCATGACTGTGTTGCCAAATTCTGAATAAACGCCATCTGCAAGGTCGCTGACGACATCACCGTAGTGGGACGGATATCTAACAGCAATGAGTCAAAATACAGAAGGGAGATAGAGGGCTTGGTGACATGGTGCAATGAAACAATCCATCTCTCAAAGTCAGCAAAACTAAAGAACTGATCATCGAATTCAGAAAGAAAGGAGGAGAACACGGCCCCATCTACATGAACGGAACTGAGGTTGAGAGAGTGAACAGCGTCAAGTTCCTCAGAATGACGATAACTGACAACCTCTCCAGGACTTCCCACGCAGATGCAACAGTCAAGAAGGCACAACAGTTCCTCTTCTTCCTCAGGCGACTCAGGAAATTTGGCATGTTCATAAAGTCCCCCACCAACTTCAACAGATGCATAATTAAAAGCCTACTGTCTGGGTGCATAACGGCCTGGTATGGCAACTGCTCTGCCCAGGACTGTAAGAAACTACAGAAGGTGGTGTGCACAGCCCAGACCATCACGGAAGGCAACCTTCCACCCACAGACTATATTTACACGGCTCGCTGCCACAGAAAGGCAGTCAACATCATCAAAGACCCATCACACCCCGGTAATGATCTCCTACAACCTCTTCCATCAGGCAGAAGGTACAGAAGCCTGAACACACGCACCAGCAGGTTCAGGAACAGCTTCTTCCCAGCCATTATCAGACTGTTGAATGGACTCTAGCCTCAAATGTAACATGTATGCTTCTAAGTCCTTTTGATCTGTACATTCTTTGCTAGCTGTTATCTGCCTGTACTGCTCACAAACAAAGCTTTTCACTGTGTTTCGATACACATGACAATAAAATCAATCAATCAGTTACCCTCAGTCAATTCCTCAGAAACTGGAGGCTTCTCACCACAATACTCAGCAGCTCAGTTACCAAGTGAACCGTAATGTTCTCATTGAGACAGGAGGTGACCTCTCAGACCTTGAGCCTGTTCCACTATTCACTTAGGTTCAGTGGCAGATCTGTATCTCAGCAGCAGTTACTCTTCTCAGTCCCATACTGACTCCATCCCAGATTCAGTGGTCTCCCCTTCCCTTCCACAGTTGGCTTTCCCATTCACAGTCACTGCCCACAAAAGGGTGACCTGTTCTCAAACAATCAATGTTCTCAACATTTGGAGAAGCCCTGTACATACTGAAACTTAAATAAAAGCCAAATCATGTGGAACTGTCCTGGCCAATCTCCTGCTGTTGATGATTAATCCCAAGGACACTAATGCAACCAACGCAGAGGAAACATTGGAGATGTATTAAAAGGTGTTTTTCATTTTCTTTTTCATGTTTACTAATGAGTTATTAACAAGCTATCATGCAGATGGCTGGAGAGGAGTGAAGAAGTCGGAAGAGGCGTGAAATTTAATGAAATCTCCCGGAATGTGTCAACAAATATTAGTGAGGATATCTCACACCCTCATAAGACTGGTTCCTTCCGCTTTCCCTTGGTTAGAATCATAGAATCCCCACTGTGTGGAAGTAGGACATTCAGCCCATTGAGTCCATAACCACCATCCAAACAGCATCCCACCTAGACCCACTTCCCCACTCTATCCCTGTAGCCCTGCATTTCCCATGGCTAATCCATCTAGCCTGCACATCCCTGGACACCACGGGACAATTTAGCATGGGCAATCCACATAAACTCCCAACTGTGAACTGTGGGAGGAAACCAGAGCAAACCCACACAGACACAGGGAGAACATGCAAACTCCACACAGGCAGTCATCCAAAGGTGGAATTGAGCCTGGGTCCCTGATGCTGTGAGGCAGCAGTGCTAATCACTGAGCCATCGTGTTGAAATACCCAAGATGAGAACTGAGTCTTCAAGTGTTTTATTCAATAGATCCACTGGATTTGCTGTTCCTCAATGACTAGGAAGGGGATCACAATGAAGACAATGAACATGTTTGCCAATTGCATCTGGGCAGACACTGGGATGAGGTTATGATTGCATTTATTGGTGATGCCCACTGCAGTTAAACAGTTAACAAATACACATCAGCGCAAGAAGAATGGACACACAGTTGAGGCATCAATGGGAGGGAAGCATCTCCACTCAATTCCAGATCTTGGAATTCTTGTGTAGGATTTAGACTTTAACTGGATTCGGTTGCTACAGGCCTTACTCTCCTGCTAGGATGCAAATTACCAAAGAGAAACCTGGTTTCCATTTATTTTCAATATTAAGATTTTGTGAAACTTATTAAGAACAGTTACAGCCTGAGAGGATAATGGCAGCTTGAAAATTTCACAGAGATTAATTTAGCAAAGTGTGTTCAGGGGAATTCCAGCCTTACACAAGAAGCCAAATTATCTGACCAGATTTAGTAAAATATTTAAAACAGAACTGTTCCCTTCACACAGTAATCCTTCTAGAGAGCCATTTTGAAAATAAAGATTTGAAAAAAAAGTCTTCAAACCCAGCCACAGGAACATAACAAAGAGCTATCAAAGCTTTCATTTAGCAGGCACTGTTTGGGAGATGAACTGAACAGAATACTGAAGAGATACAGATTACTGACACATTAGCAACAAAAGAAAGCATTTCAAACCCTCCAGCTTACTCTGCCATTCACCTGAATCATAGCTCGCCTGAATCTTAGCTTCGTTGGCAAATATCACCCACTACCATTAAGCAGCTAAAATCTAGCAATGTTAATACTAGAAACTCTTTAACCCACATCTTTTATTTGTATAATGGACGAAGGATTTACATACAAATGAAGTTTCACCTTAGAGATCCTTCCAACAAAATGCAGTTACAGTTCAGGTACACTTTAGATCATTTTTTTTACACATGCACAGCAAAGTTTACTTCATCAGACTCCATACAAACTGAAATGTGGCATATGGATACGGTTATCATCACAAGACAAACAAGACATTGGTACAAATTCATCTCCCACAATCCAGACAGCACTCCCTTGGTACTGCACTGGAGTGGGCTCAATTCTCTTGTTGTGGGACTTAGAGACACAAATAGGAGACCTGCCCCATCATAAGACCATAACATATAGGAGCAGAATTAGGCCATTCGGCCTATCCAGTCTGCTCCAACGTTCGACCATGGCTGATATGGTTCTCAACACCCACCTCCCCTCACCCTTAATCTCCTTACTAATCAAGAACCTCTCTGTCTTAAATACACTCAATGACCTGATCCCAGCCCCTCCCCCACAGCCCTCTGCAGCAATGAGTTCTACATATTAACCACTTTCTGGCTGAAGAAATTCCTCCTCATCTCAATTCCAAACGGTCATCCCTTCACTCTGAGGCTGTGCCCTTGGGTCCTAGTCTCCCCTTCTAGTGGAAGCATCTTCTCCATGTCCACTCCATCCAGACCTCTCAGTGTTTTGCAAGTTTCAATCAGATCCCCTCATCCTTCTAAACTCCATCAAGTACAGACCAAGAGTCTTCAACTGCCCCTCATACAATGAGCTCTTTATCCCTGAGATCCTGTAAACCTGTTCTGGGACACCCCCTCCAATGCCAGCACATCCATCCTTAGATACAGGGCCCAAAATTGCTCACAATATTCTGAATGTGGTCTGACCAGAGCCTAACAAAGTAATGCAGCAGTACGTCCCTGCTCTTGCATTCTCGCTGTCTTGAAATGAATGCCAAAATTGCATTTGCCTTCCTAACTGCCAAATGAACCTGCATGTTAACCTGAAGACAATCCTGATCTAGGATTCCCAAGTCCCTTTGTGCTTCAGATTTCTGAAGGCTTTCCCCACTTAGAAAACAAAGTATGCCTCTATTCTTCCTGCCAAAGTGCATAACCTCACATTTTCCCACATTGTATTCCATTTGCCACACTTTGCCCACCCTCCTAGTTTGTCCAAGTCCTTCTGCAGCCTCCCGGCTTCCTCAACATTACCTGTCACCCCCACCCCATCTATCTTTGTGTCATCTGCAATAATGCCCCCAGTTCCTTCATCCAGATCGTTTAATTGTACACAGTTTCCGTCAGTCTGGAATGAGGGCTACACAGTTGATGTTCTGTAGCTGTCTGTGAACGCTAAAGCTACAAGCCTCAATGAGACAAATACAACAAGACACACAAGTGGGCGTAATACCCTGGAAGGGTAAGAATCGAAAGTGAAAGGAACGTTTTCCGATATATTCCTTCAAATGGGCTCCATGTTTCTTGTAAACAAGGACCCTGTTAACCGTCCTATATAAATCTTCATATAATCCCACCACCCCCCAACCCCAAGCCCTCTCCAGCTGGGGGAGGAGGTTGTATAGTCCTGTGTAATCCACGGAGGACGGGAAATGTTGGAGACTTTGTTGTTGGGACTTCCTCATTACAAAATAAAACACACAACAATGGGTCTTACTTAATCCAGACAGTTCCCTCTCAAATTCGCATTCCCAGTGAAACTGGGCACACCGAGGGTCCACAGCTTTTAATACTTACTGGAATGACACCAGACAATAGGATGAGGGTCAGTGAATCCATTGGTCCCGGGGATTGTGTCTCTCTGTCGGGTATCACACTGCAACAGTTCCCCTTTTTCCACGATTCGTAAACACTTCCACCCGTTTCCCTGCAGAAACTGACAGTTCCGAGACTGGATACTGAAATTTCTCCCTCTCTCTGCTTTGTCCTTCGCCCATGCACCGGGCTCACGGACACAAAGTGTTCTGAGAAGCCACTACCGGAACAAAAAGAGTCAGACCGCAGCCTTGTTTCTCATCCTCTCTCTCATACACACACAACCACCCCCGCACCTGCAAACCGGACACTGCCCCAGTGCAACTAAAGACTGGTCACAGCGTGAGTCTGTGCTGTCTACCAGACCAAAGCTGTGTCCAGCTACGATAGGAAGGCATCTTAACATTGACACGTTGAGCAACCAATGAAGGCAGGCTTGCATTGGCATAGCGCCTCTCATGACGCTGGAAGATTCCCCGCTCTCCTTACAAGCTCTTGAAGCCCAGTTTGAAGTGTAAGCATCATGCAAGGAACAGGGAGGTCACTTCATTGCAAAGCTAAACCACACAGGCAACAAAGCCACAGTAATCAAATTGCTGTTTGAGGTACAGTAACTGGTGCATAGTTTTAGGGAACTTGAGGATTTTTTTTCACCCAGAGTTGTGTGAAGGCAGGAACCCTGAAGACATTTAAGAAGTATTTGGATCAAAACCTGAAATGCTGTAGGATGTGAAGAGCTTTGGTGAAACAGTGGTAATGTCCCCACCTCTGAGCAAGGAGGCCCAGGTACAAGTCCTACTTGCTCCAAAGGTGTTTCATAATATCTCCAAACAGGTTGATTAGAAAATATTTATCAAAAGCTGCACGTCATAGAGTTGTACAGCATGGAAACAGACCCTTCGGTCCAACTTGTCCATGCTGACCAGATATCCTAAATTAATCTAGTCCCACTTACCAGCATTTGGCCCATGTCCCTCCAAACCCTTCCTATTCATATACCATCCAGATACATTTTAAATGTTGTAATTGTACCAGCCTCCACCACTTCCTCTGGCAGCTTGTTCCATACACACACCACCCTCTGCATGAAAAAGTTGCCCCTCAGTTCCCTCTTAAATCTTTCCCCTTTCACTTTAAACCTACGCCCTGTGGTTTTGAGGACTCCCCTACCCCGGGGAAAAGACCCTATCCATGCTCCTCATGATTTTATAAACTTCTATAAGGTCACCCCTCAGTCTCCAATGCTCCAGAGAAAATAGCTCCAGACTATTCAGCCTCTCCTATAGCTCAAACCCTCCAACCCCGGCAACATCCTTGTAAATCTTTTCTGAAAACTTTCAATTAATGGGATTGACCAGCCTTAACAAAATAACATTAATTTGGACCATCACTAAAATGATCCTATTCACCCTCCCAAGTGCACGTAAAAGGTCCTCTGCTGTTGTTTGAATGAAGAACAGGGGAATTCTGCTGGGTTTTGCAGCCAATGATTATTGCAAATGAGTAAAGCACATTCTTTGATCATTTTGTCATTGCTGTTACAGGAAAACTGGTAAGTTAGCTTAACTGGTCTGCCCTGTGTTTTATTCCTCTGTATTTCAAGGTGACATAAAAGCTGTTCAGTGGACATGACGTCTGAAAGGCACTTTGACCAATACCAATTCTTGGAATAATTAAAGGTGTGCTCGTGTTTTGACTGGGAGCTATTAGCTAGGCTAAGTTCTTAGAAGTGCAAGATTCATAATCTCTTCTGCTTCAAAAGTTCCAAGATAAACACATGCCTTATCTGTCTCAACATCATTTTTGGGAAGGAAGGAGTCATATTTGGAGAGTCCCCTGTCCCTTCTTTCTCAGGACATTTCTACACCCTTCCCATTTACTTTAAGTTTCATTAAGGAAGTAAAGCTATTCCATTAGTAAACACACTGCAGCCAATTCATCACACAAACCGCAAATAGGATAAATGACCTGATTAGTACATAGAATCCCCATGGTGTGGAAGCAGGCTATTCGGCCCATTGAGTCCACACCAACCCGCCAAACAGCATCCCACCTAGATCCACTCCCCCCTACCCTATCACTGTAACCCTGCATTTCCCATAGAAAATCCACCAAGCCTGCATATTCCTGAACACTGTGGGCAATTTAGCACGGCCAATTCCAACTAACCTTGGTAGACCACCTAACCCAGAGGAAACCCAAGCAGACACGGGGACAATGTGCAAACTCCACACAGACCGTTGCTTGAGGGTGGGATAGAGCCCGTGTCCCTGCCGCTGTGGAATCCTCTACTCTGGAAAAAAGACCTTGGCTAACCACTGACCAACCTGGCTGCCCCTAACTGGGTTTCATCCAGGTGTTCTGGTTTCTGCCCACAACCCAAAGATGTGCAATTTAGGTAGGTTGACCATGTGCTAAATTGTCCATAGTGTCCAGGGATGTGCAGGCTAGGTGAATTAGCCATGGGAAAAGCAAAGTTACAGGGATAGGGTAGGAGGTGGGTCTGGGTGGGATGCTCTTTGGAGGGTCAGAGTGGACTCAATGGGCCAAATGGCTTGCTTCCACACTGTAGGGATTCTATGATGAAGTTTGAAAGGACTGTTTTCAGGTGATTTTTTTCCATTTTCTCTACCTCAGCTAAGATCCATAGGTTCAAGGATGTCCCCACTACCTACCTCAATAGTTCCTCATGTCTACACAGAGAATGTTAACAGGTTAATCAACCTTTGAAGGCATCACAGATGAGCTGAATTAGGCCTTCACTCGACAGTCAAGGACTTTGAGTCAGAGTCACCAAATGGCATTTCATGGTTGCAAATCTTGCTGAATCTAACCCCTAGGTAGAGGGACGCCTTCAGTAGTTGATCAGCTAACATTTTGCCAACCAAAGATCCAACCTCAGACATCGCGATCTCTGTGGTTCAGTGTTACCCCACAGAATATATTTATTGACAAATCTGTCGGCGAGCAAAGGTTTTGTAACACGATGTATCCCAGCTGAAGATACAACAGAAAATTTTGCAACCATTCAGCAGGTCTGGCAGCATTGAAAGAGAGTGAAGTTAATGTTTCAGATTAATGGCGGTTTAGCAGAATTAGAAGGTGCACATACAGAGGCAGGGAAAGGGGGAAAGAGGAGAAAAGAAGAGTCTGTAGAAGAGATGAGGGGAAGGGGAGATAGCAGAAACCAAAAAAAAAGAGACAAAAGAAACAAAAGATGGGGCGTGTTGGGAGTATAAATGGTTTCAATGGTGGAGTACATGAAATTCATTAAAGAGATGACCCCCACTACCCAGGAGATAATGGAAGAAAGGCTGGAATGGGCATCAAGGATATAGACTACCCCATCAGCACTCACCCAGGCTTCTGTCTGATTCCCAGTGTGTGATGCTTCAGCCAGGATACTATCTAGATGAGACAAATAGCCCCTGACCTCTGAGAATAGCAGAGGGCTCAACCATTCTGCCCTGTTGGGTGGGTTGCTGCCAATCACTGAGGTGAAGATTAGCAAATTGACAGAGAGATCAGGTGGCTGAGAGGGTCATGAGGCTGCACTCAACTGTATCGTCGAGGAGACAAAGAAGCTAACACTGAACATCCAGTTGATACTTGCAAATTAACCAGTCTGGATGTGCTAAAGATAGAAAGTCTGCAAAGTGACAGAATCTGTTTTATGAATAGGGATATTTTTGTAGAAACATTGACGGTGACTCTACAATATGCTAAACTTTTTTTATAGAAAGGAAATCATACAGGGCTCATCACCAGCTTGATTTTAATATGTTCCTGCAGCCTTCAGAAACCAGACTTCGGTGACAGCTGTTGTTCAGTGGTCACACACTTGCCTGTCATCAGAATGCTGTAGATACAAGCTCCAACCAGGCACTTCAGCACAAAATGCATGCCCTCTCTTCAATGTTATACAGAGGCTGTGTTGCCCTGTCAGAATTGCTGTCTCTCAGATGAGGTGCTAAACTGAGGGCCCTTAGGGGAAAGCAAAAAAATCTCATGGCCACTATTTCAAAAAGCAGGAACGATATCCCACTGACCTGGCCAACACTCATTCCTCAAACAACTGACTATCTGAGAATTGTCTTATTGCTGTTTGGGGAACAATGTTATATGGCAGTTGACTGGTGTATTTCCTACATTGCAACATTCCAAAAAGCACTTTATTAATTGTAAAGCACTTTGGGGTGTCCAGAGACTATACAGAAAGTCAAATGCTTCAGTGAAACCCTGATCTCATTCCAGTTTTCCACCCATAGATGAACTTCAAACTGAAATAATTCTACGTGCAAGTACAAAGAAGAACTTGTTACATATTCAGTAAACTTAATACAATTTGGGTATAAATGAGGTTTCCTGGGCCAGACTTCTCCATCTCCTGAAGGTGCTGATTCGTGCTGAGTACTGTTCTCCAACCATCAGTACAGTGTTGAAAGGCTATTCACCTGTGAAGGCCTCACAGACAATCCTGATCCTCACTTAATATTCACATTCTCATACATGCTCTCCACTAAATGAACGATTGGATAGAGGAATAGCGGCTGGGGGCCCACAGCGGGGACTTTGTTGGCTGCCCACGAGATAGTTGGTGTGCCCAGGCAGAACACTCTGGTGGTTGGTAGATACGTGGAAGTGGCCAGGGGCCCACAGCAGCACCAGAGCGGGAGTCTGGCAGGCAGCAAGGTGGAGGCATGGGGATTGAGCCCAGCATGGAGTGACTGCAGGCCCTAAGCTGAGGAAGTACTGTAATTTGGTACTTTTAACTTTATTTCTTATTTACTCCATTATACTCACAAAAACTGAAATGTTGAACTTTTAATTCATTTCTTCGTTTTTCTACTTTTTACCTAAGATTTTGAACCTAAGTACCTTGTACCTAAGATGACACCATTGTAAACTTTTCACTGTACTCCTGTATCCTGTACTCGAGTACATGTAACAATAAAATCTAACTCTAATTCTAAGAGTAACCCACATTGCTATGGATCTGGAGTCAGATGTAGGCCAGGCCAGGCCAGACGAGGATGGCAGATTTTCCTTCCATGAGAGCATTAATCAACCAGGCAGGTTTTTACAACAAGGCTTTCATGGTTATCATTAGACTAGCTTTGAATTCCAGTTTGATTAATTGAGTTCAAATCCCACCATCTGAACATCACCTGGGTTTCTGGATACTAACTAGCCCAGTGACAATACCATTACACCCCCGCTTCTCTATGGCTTTGGCTTTGTAGTGCAATGGATAACATATTGGACCTCTAATGAGTAGCCAGTAAGCCCTGGTCAGTGTCAGAACCACATTTGCAACTGGCTACGCATTTACTGAACTATAAGGGGAACCACATGCAGTCAGGTTATATTGACCTTCTTAATCAGTCAAAAACAGGTAGCAAGAATATTTTTAATAAAGAT